GGGGGGGATCATGCTGCTGAGATGAACGGTTGAGATATTTGCATGCACAGTGACAGGAAGTGATGTCAAAGGGGAACGCCTGCATGTAAACATTGTTATAAAGGCCAACAACGCAGACTGTGGAAAAGAATCTGATGTTTCTGTAGATCATATTGAGTCACTATCCGAAAGAGACAAACGGTCAAATAGCAAATAATAACGTTTCATAAATAAAGACCAGGGAGTTCCCCTTTGATGTCACTTCCTGTTTCACTTTCAAAGCACAATACGCCAGTTATGTGACTTTATTGGTAAAACTGTGAAGAATTTCTTAAATATCAAGATGTTTTCTTCCACTTGTTGTATTTATAGGCACTTTAGAAATCAAGCCTTGTGGGTCATTTTGACCCTATGGCAGCAGGAGGGTTACGCCAGTATCTCACTGGGCTGCGACTGGTGGCGACTTGTTGGGAAACAGCATTTGCGAGTTTTCAAATTCCTCCCTTGAGTTACAGAGGCGCCCGAGTCTTGTTGCTTCACTTTTTACACAACAGTCAAAGAGTCGCATCGGGCGTCGCAAACCGTCTCAAGAGATGCGAGGTGGGTTTGGACGCCTGCACCGGAGCTCTCTTTGACAGGAAACCTTCAGATCTGAAAACCATGATGATAATAGACGGTTACACTAAAATAAACTGGTCCAAACACGCCTGGCTTTATTTCTAAAGTGTGCTCCAGTAGATAAAATTAAAAAACCGTGGGGGCAGCTGCCAAGGGGTGCAAACAGGATGAGGTAAGTACGAAGTGGGCAACAAAATAATGTGCACAGCCAAGAATACAGTTTTACAAGCTGCGCTCATGAAAATGTGCACAAATGTTTATCTACAGCTATTTTAGTGCATTTTGTTTACTCGTTTGAATAACAATAACATAATTACTGTCTTTTATGTCAACAGTTTATTTAGGTGTTTAAGCAAATTATCATTTAACTAATTATATAAAACAACAGATTTGTATTAAACACAATAACACTAAGTGCAAATGACAAGTTCTAATTTGTTTAATTTATCTGGGGAAAAATAGGTAGAGAAGTTTATACCTTATATAATGGAGTAAAAATATTGTTTAAGAAGCTTAAATTTTTTTGAGAAATTTAGCTTTAAATTAACTTTGATTTAGACATTGAATTTAGGAAAACTTCAACTAAAATTCTTGGTTGTAAACTACCAAAATGTTATTGTGTAAAACCTTTAGTTTGTTTGTAAAGTGAGAAAACCTCGACCATTTACTTCTTTAAATCTCACATAAATTATTTGGCAACGTTTACTCCGTCTCAAAACATTTTCTGGCACATGGCTGAAGTTCAATTAAAAGTTCTGACAAATTTAATCAGACAAAAAAAAAAAAAAAAAAAAGTAAAAACAAAATGTCATTATTAAGCAAAAAGCAAGTTTACATGCACAAAGTCCACTTTAATTTAGCACTGGTGCCCAGTCCTGGTCCTAAAGGGCCACCATCCTGCAGGTTTGAGCCGTTTCCCTGCTCTGCAGCAGGACGTCAGGTTCTGCAGAAACGTGTCAATCCCCCACAGCTCAAATCAGGTGCGTGAAAGCACAGAAACATTTAACTCGTGCAAGATGGCGTCCCTCAAGGACCAGGATTAGGCACCACTGGTTTATGGAATGAAATAAAAATCGTAACAAGAAATATTAATGATTAAAATAAATGACGTCTTACCATTTTAATCAGAGTGGGGACTGTCCACCACAATATGTGGTTTAGGGGAAGGTGTTGTGGCACTCTTTGACACAAATGTACCGATTGCTTTTTCCTGCAAGAAAGAGAAAATTTTATCCTTCAAATATCCCCCCACCTCGAAACAAAGCTGTTAGAAGAATATACTTTTACTGCTGCCGCTGGTTTTATTAGCTGTTATAAATAAAATAAAGTGTTCTCATTGTTTGAAATGATCCCTTAAAGCAGCACTTCTTTAGGTTGGCCTTACAAACCTTGAGGAAACCAAACAGGAACAACCTCAGAGTGAAAGCAGATGAACGTGAGACGAGACGGTGGAGTCTCATGTGAGTTCAATTGATGCGTTAACCGACCGACTGGCTGTTAGTCAGCACTTTCCTCTGTGCTGCAGCGTTTAACAAACTGCGACGGTTCAACGAGCAAAACGTCTGATCAGTGCCATCTACACAAAACGTGGCTGGATGTAACAAAGTACAAGTACTTTACTGTACTTAAGTACATTTTTCATGTATCTGCACTTTACTTAAGTAGAGTAACTGTGGGTACTTTCAACTTTTACTCCACTACATTTTACATAAGTATCTGTACTTTCTTCTACGCTACATTTCTATAATGCGTTGTGTTACAAGTTACATTCACGTCGAGGTTTTTTAATTTGTTTGTTAGTTTGAAAGTAACCGATGGTGAGAGGGGAGTTGGTCCAATGAATCACTGCAAAGTGGGCAGGTAACGTTAGACCCACCTTCAAGAAGAGCTGGACCAATGACATATATTTTAGTATATACGTCATTGAGCTGGGCGCATCCTTAGCATCGCGGCGCTAATACACCCAAAATAGATTCCAAGGCGGAGAATTAGTCAGAAGATACGCGCCACCCACGGCCTTATCGAAATATTATTGAAAGACAGTACAGCAGGACAGATTCTCTCTCCCAAAAGAACCAGACTGGACTCAAAAAACTTTGAAAACCAACTTCTTCTGAACTTGAACAAGAAATTCTTGCTGCAACATTAAAATGTGTCAGTTCATGATGTTAGGAGACAAGAGATGTCTCAAAATGTCTCGACACTCGGGTCCAAGTTTTGAAAATGGTGTCAGGAAGTTAAAACATTGTTCACTATTGACTCATTACAAGGTCGACTAGACAGTATTTAACTAGAGTTGATGACAAACTGGAGCTGAAATGATCAGAGTCTATTCCTTTGTTAGGTTTAATGCTCCTTTTTTTCAAACAGACCACTTTTACTTAAATGTGTTTACTGCAGTTAAAATGACACATTGGTTTTGCTTTGTGTTAAATAAAAAACTTTCAAAGGTAAAATCATTCCTCTTCCTTATTTTGCTTAATGTCATTTAACTCTGCATGTCATCGCTGAAATTCTGCTGCACAGAATCACAAGTCCAAGTGTGAACTGTGTCACAGAGTAAACACAATAAAAACATGTATTATCTGCAGCATTGTTCATTAAAATGGCTCAACACTATTGATGTATTACAGGAAATATACATACGGTAGGAACACTTAATGATATTGTAGACCACTGCATTAGGTAACACATTCAGCAAGTACTTTTACTTTTAATACTTTAAACATTTTTAAACGCAAGTACTTATTTACTTTTACATAAGTAAAAACAATGTGGTTTACTAGAGTTCATTTTTGTCTGTTTATTTGTACTTTTACTTAAGTACAGTGTTTGGTTTTGTGCAGTGGTGAAGAAATTACTCAAACTGCCAACCAAAACGGTACAAATAAAACTGTGTTCGGTTGAGTCTGAGCGTTAGAGTAACTTGTGTCTCTAAAATAAACGTCTGATGGAAGAGAGACGAGGAGTCACATGTCCTACATGTGTCCTAAAAACAGCTCAGACCACTGTTTCTATAAACCTGCTGCGTTTGGACCAGTCGGCTGAAACAGTTCATTAAATGTAAAGTGATGTTCTGTCAAATGCTCATCAATACTGATTACCTTATCAGCCACCTCATGACATCAGTCAGAGCATAGAGTGTGGAGAAGAAAGGCAAAGGACAGTCCAAGCTAAGCTGATGGCTAGCCACATGAGACATTTCACAAAAACATCATTCAGGAGTGAAAGAACATTAGCCGATTTTAAACCGTTTCTTTATTATGCCACTGTTTTTTCTACCGAACAATGCTCTGGCTACACAAATATGGTTCTCCTGAGGCTGCTGGATGATCAGAACACCAGTCATTACTCAACGTTCAGCAAACGGATGAATTCAGCAGCATCAGCACAAACATGAGCAACACGGTTCATGTTGGAACTCGAAGTCTACGGAGTGACGGGTTTGATATTTCTTTGTTACGCAGATGTCAAGCATAGACGAGGTTTTAACAAAGGGGTCACCTGTGACCTTGACCGTTGGGCCTGTGACCTTGAAATCAAAAGGAATCCTTGACACACGAGGTGTCGAGCTGTGTAGTATCACATTTCTATGTTAAAGGACAGATGGATGGATTGGTCGTATGGCTCGCCTTAAGACGGGCGTATGAAAAATAATAAACGTGTCTTTGTTTGGTTAGCCATTAGCTTAGCATGGAAGACGTCTTCCCTTTTATTCACTGTCCTCTGTGATTGATAAGGTTGTAACTACTGATGTTACACAATATTTATTATTATTTCCACTGTCCCCTTTTCAGAGGTCGCTAAAAAGAATCATCTCCTCTGTCTCACTCGGTCCTCTGCATCCTCTGTCCTCACTCCACCTAAATGTCCTCTCTAAATGTATCCATATATCTCCCTCTGTCTTTTTCCTGGCAGCTGCATTTCTAACATCCTACCAACATACCCACTGTCCTTCCTCTGGACATGTCCAAACCACTGTCCCTTCTCTGGACATGTCCAAACCATCTCAGTCTGGCCTCTGTACCTTTATCTCCCAGTCGTTCCACCTGTACTGTACCTCTGATGATCTCATTCCTAATCTTATCCATCCTTGTCACTCCTAAGGAGAACCTCAACATCTTTAACACCACATCCAGTTCTGTCTCCTGTCTTTTCGTCCATGTCTCCATCTCCAAACCATACAACATAACATATATCTCTGACAAGCGTAACCTGCTGCAAATCCTTTCCAGCCTGATCCCTCTGTCTCAGAGTCAAATACGTCCTCTCTCAGAAGAGCACATCAGAAATGACCAAACTGTCCCTCTATGAACCATCAAGTTGCATCATTTTATAGAAAAGGGACATAATATTTCCTTCAGAAGTCTAAAACCAATAACGAGGCCATAAATCTTTTTTTTTAGATTCTTTCAGCTGTGTCTCAGTAACTTATTGACAAACGCATTGTTTAAAAGCCTGTTTTTGTTTACAACTGTATCAAACCAGTGTTTTGTAGACAATGGTGGATATTAAGGTAATGCAGGGTGGTGATTAAAGCACTGCACTTCCAACTGGTAAATGGCTCCTTTACCACTGAGCCACAGGCATTAAACATCAAAACTTGCATCATATGAAAAAGAAGAGGAGGAGGAAGTTTTAGTTTAAACATTTCACTCGTATTCTCCCTGATCCTGCGGTCATAAATGATAAAAATGTCAAACAAACAAACCAACATACTAACATCTAATCAACAAATGACAGCACACTCATTTTGTGGATTAGGTGAGTCTAAATAGCCCTTATTGTTTTTAAAAGACCATAGTAGGCTTTAATAATTTCACCATGCATGAGCTCTCCATTCTCATTAATTATGAAAAACAGAAAGAAATTTAAATGTAATCAGGCTGAAAACTGAAGCCTGACCACACTAATGTAAAATAAGGATATTACCAGTAGTTAATTCTGGTTTTTAATGTGAAGAGCTCAACTCCAATCAAGTTGTGTGACCAAAAACAATCACGCTTGTGACCTATTTTTTCCCCAATAAGAAATAGTAATAACATTTATGCTTTGAGTAATTAGTTTCATAGAATGGTAATAATTTAAAAAAGTGTGCTTGTTTGTGACCTGATGGTTATTTGTGCTGCTCTTGGTAGATTTCTCTTCATCATAAATAACCTTTATTAACGTTTTTCACAAATAAGTCCACAGTTAATTTCTTCTTTTTTTCTTTGCATGTTTGTGACGTTGCTTCCACAGCTAAACCGCCTGATGATCTCATTATGGTCATCATCTCTACTGGACGACTGAACCAACCTCAAGATGCTCAGGGAGATAAATGTTCACCCGTTTGTGTCCTCACCTCAACAAGCTGATGCCAGTGTTCTATTGGTTTACGTGGATTGGCCAGCATGGCCGCCCAGTGCTCCCTCCCGGGACCGTCGGCTTCGCTGCCCACACGACACATCCCTATAACCTCGTTATGACCGATGCTGACATCGGAGAGGAGACAAAGAAAGAAAAGAAAAGATCATTTATCGTTTGGGCTTTGGGAAAAAAGAGTTGACGAAGGATATTGAATTGTAGCTCATGAATACAGCTCTGGATAAAAAGCTCGATATCACCGAGGAAGCAGAGAAACACGCAGAAGCACACACGCATGTAGTGGTGCCAAATGGCGTGTCTACACAACATAACAGGGAGGCGGTGCGTTTCTACACAAACACATAAAGCAGCCAAGTGATGCTGCAAGCGGCAATAAGATAAATATTGGCATGGCTGCACGTCTTCCCTCCCCATTAGCATAAATCATGCTTATTCATGAGGTGCCATCTATGTAAAACAGGGATCATTCACCAGGAGGCTGACTCTTGAGGGACCATCATCTTGTTCAACACCCGCAAAACCATCGAAATGCAAAGGACAACCCCCCACCCCTCCAAAAAAAGAGAAATCAACATTTGATAAACAGCCGCCTCGCAGTGATGATGGGTTTGTTCTTAAAGCCCCTGAAGCATGCGAAGATATAAAAACATCTCAGCTCGCTCACCAATCATAATCCATCACCGCGATGACGATGGATACACTTTCTATGTTTTCGTTGGGAATGTCAAACACCAGCGCCTCGTTGTACGTGGGGTTCAGCGTGTTCTTCTTAATGGAGGTCTTCCTCTTTTTTAGCCGTCGCCCGTCACATACCAGAGAGGCCTTCACGTACGGGTCTGAAGTTGATTTGATTAGATGGGAAGAGAAAGAGAAGAAGGGAGATTAACAAAAAGCCGTGGAGCTGAAAATGAAAAGGAAAGAAGATGGAGACAGAGAGATTAAGATAAGAGTTCGCAGGTATCTGCATCTGTAACACATAAAAGCCGTAAGAATCGAGTCATCCCGGTAAAGATGGATTAGAAGCACGGAGCGAGAGAAGCAGCACGTGCTGAATCACTCTAGTTATGTATGCAACATGTGCCGCTCCGTGACAGCAGCCAGGAGAAATCACACGAGCTTTAAAATTCTACGTCAGAGTCTTACGGCGCTCGTCGATCATGCTGAGATCAACGTAGCAACAAAACTGTTCGTCCTCTTACAGCTCACTGAAACAACGCTTCGGGTCTCCTGAAAAGAGGTTTACTTAAAGGAACTGTTAGGACGCCTTTAGGGTGTGATAAACAAATAAACAAAAAAAGTATTTTATTTTACAAAGGTGATAAAATAGCACAAACCGATTTGTTGGTAGCCTTAAAAAGACTACCGTATATTTCGTCATATAAGTCGCACCTTTTTGCGTAAATTAGCAAGTCCTGCGACTCATTTATGTTTATTTCCATATTTATAAACATGTTTGGGCTGAGATCTGATGATTTCATTCATTCTGTGGAAAATATTGAACACTAATATTTTCAGCCTCTAGCGGGCCCTCGACTAATATGGCAAGCCAAGTGTCTCATGAATAAGTAAAAGTGGCTATTAATGAGACACTTTGCTTGCCATACCGGCCACCTCCGTCTCGCTCGGGAACTCCTGGAGCAAATGTCAAATCAGCGTCATTTTGCCACGGCGCCCAGTTGAAATGCAGCTGATTTGACCATTAAAGTGCATTTATTAAGGATTCTGATGTGCACGGCAGTAAGTACGGTAATAATCCTCACTTTATAGTTACGTTCTAAACTGAGACCCTATTTACAAGAGAACGACCTCTAGAAATGCGTTTCACGTCAGCATTTATTGAGGCAAATAAACAAAGCTCCCATTTCGATGGATCAGCTCCAGTTTCCATGCCAGGCAGGGTTGCCAGATAAGAAATGAAAAACTATCGTTTGAAAATTTTTGTATTTTGACCCGTGTCACATGTGTTGAGTGAGGGCGTTGTGTTTGTTGAACATCTGCACAGAAAAGAGGGGGCTAAAGAAACATATTTATGTTTATCTGGCAACGCTGATGCCGGCTCAGCTGAATGCATCGTGAACGCAGTGCCAGCATGATCACAATTACATCCAAACTGGTAATACATGAACATTCCTTTGGACCCAGGATGTTGTTGGTTTGCTCCTATAAGCTAAAAAGCGGCAAGTAGCACAAAAATCACTCTCCTCTTGCCATTTATTATAACTGTTGTTTGTGCAGAAAAACCTTTGACTGCAGCCGCCTGTAGTGCACATGCAATTTCACACCTGCAGAGTATTTGACACCTCCGTGGGAGGTTCCCCCCAAAAACCTCCAAATTGAGACCAGGATTCAGAAACCTTCAGAGAAAACGAGGACTGTAGGCGAACGGCTGAACCGCTGCACAAAAGCTCAGTTTTCTTGTGTCTTGTCTTCTTCAGTGTTTGACCTTGACTAGAATCACAGGAGCCTTTGAGTTTTCCATCTGCCCATTTAACGAGCACAAACAGCCACGGTTGGTCTTTCTGTGCACCACCCTGAACATGGAGCAGAGAAAGTAAAGATGAGAGCTGCCGAAGGAGCTCTGAAGGAAGAATATAGATATCCACAAAGGCTAAAGACCATCTACAATCAGCTCCATGGTCCTCTGACCACAGCTGACAACATTATTGAAAAGTATAAGGCTCAAGGGATTGTAGCCAACCACCCAGGTCATGGCTGCAAGAGGAAATGCAACCCCATGTGTCATCAGCGAATAGTGTGAATGGTCGAAAAAGAGCCAAGGAAACCATCCAAAACCAGTCGAGCTGAACTCCGAGATCGTTACATCACTTTTTGACCACACCATCGTTTTTAATCGTAATGGATTCCATGGAAGTCGACCAGACGCTCCACTTTCATCAAGAATTCACAAATTCATCACAATGCACGTTCACAAGCTCCAAAGTTTATGGGACTGATGAGATAAAGTTAAGAGCGTTTTGGCTTCAGTCCGTTTTTTTTATTTTTTTCCTTCCTTCCTTCCTTCCTTCCTTCCTTCCATCCATCCATCCATCCATCCATCCATCCATCCATCCATCCATCCATCCATCCATCCATCCATCCGGC